GATAGTAATGGACTCCACAATCTCTATTCACACTAAGACAAAGCATGACATAGATATGTACCGTTATATTTATAACAAAACAAACAAACCCAGTCCGTCATGCTAACTCCCAATATTCTGATTTGACTTAAGTGCACTTTCTGCTGTGGATAGCACGTAACCATTTTAATGGCTCAACATTTGCGTTGTGCAATGGGCCTGAAAATTATTGTTGTTCATTGTGTTGAGAAGGATAGCACTGAATGTTGAACAATATGATCAATTTAATTACTGGATGGCTGTAAATGTTAAAAACACAAATAGATTTTACACTAAATCATCCAATCACAGCTATTAGATTATTCTTTCTGCACTGAACTTCTCCCTACAGCGTATTAGAACATTTATGTTCCATTGTGTTCTTGAAGGGATACATAATCATAAAGGTTTAGTTTTCGGACTGACTTGTATCAATGTAGCATTAAAAGCTATTAATGAAGTTAGTTGAATGTTCTGCGAACTTTCACGTAGTTCTTTAAGAAACCAAGTCTCCAAATGTACCAGGAAATACACAAGATCTTCATAGTGTCATAACTGACACGTTGTAAGAACACACGCTCTTCTTGTTTTCTTTCATCAATGACGGCCACAGCGTTACATCAATGGAGCAAACAACACCGCCTCCAACAACAGTGACTTCACCATTTCTGGCTTTCCTGGATTTCTAATTCAAGATTCATCCATTCCGCTGGGATACCTTAGTTATGGAGGATTGCAGAGTGGTAGCATTGGTCTCAATGTTGGGCAGTAAGTATTTGTATGTGAAAATGATAGTATGTTGTACGTGTTGAACACCAAAAGCTGCAAATATCATCAGACAGAGCCTATGGATAACGTCAGGAACTGAACATGGATGCAAGTCTTTTTTGTTCAAAATGGTTTCAGTCCAGTCGATTCTTGACAATATACACCCCCAATGATCTGATTCCGGATCCTCCTCCCAAATATCAAGTGAACTATCTCCGATAAATATATTACTAGCGGCGTGTTATAAAATATCATTTTTAGTAGTATTTTTCAATAGGATTCAACTATTTAATACTTTTCTTTAAGATGGGGACAATTATCGTTGAAAATCGACGATGGGATTGATGGTGGACCCCTGACGTTATTTGATCGCGTTAAGACTGCAAATACACTGATTATCTCCCCTGCCAGTCGATTTATGTCGTCATCAATATGGCGTCAGAACTCCAGCACCGGAGGGGACAATGTCTACTGGGGGACGATGGGAGGAGTTGAAGATGTCCCTGTTGGCGTTGAAACAAGTTTTATTCTTTTCTGCAGTAACCAAGGCATTAACAAGGTAACTCTCATCATCCTTAACATACCTGTAAACAAAGTTATTTGTATGGCATTTATTAACTATTTAAGACTTGAATTATGTTTTTATTTTAATTGTTTTTACTTTTAAACCTTTGAGACCGCAACTCTCCTTAACCTTCAACACGTTCATGGCAATAAACAAGTCATAATGTACATTTTCTAAGGAAACCTGTGATTATTGTTGCAGGCCTCCGTAGGCTGGGGTCAGATCTTACAGCGGTGGCATGGCCGTACAGATCAATATATGAAGTCCGACTTTACCATAAACTACTTAGGGTACTGGACGGACAATGGTGAGCATATTTCGAGATGCCTTGATTTGATTTCAGTGAACCATTACGGTCAAATCGTATTTTCCACATTGTACAACACACTGTTTCAACCAAACCAAAGTACAAGGCATCCTTTAAAAAGATAATTTAAAGGTTACTTTATTTCACAGACTTGCATACGACTAATTTGAAGGAGTTTAAAAGAATGACAACTATACCATATTGCTGTGCACTTTGTTCTGTGAACCACGGTGTTAAACCACACTGAATATCTGACAGACAAGAGAAAGCCTTTGCAAAGAAAACAATCTAAAACAACAATTTGTTTCTTGTTTGAGTGGCATTTTAGAAGTTGAGACGTACAATATTCAACAAGTTTTATGGATAATAACTTCTTATTTTTGAGTTGTGACGTTTGATAGATTCTTGTACCGTTGTCAAGCAAAAGTGACAACGGTACAAGAATCTGTATCGAAACGTCGCACTCACGAAATAAAGAAGTTGTTATCCAAAAAAACTTGTGCTATATTGAACAATTTATTTGTTCAGGTGCGTATTACTACTGCCGGACAGAGAAAGGAAAGAACCACCAGGACACAATGTTGGATATCAAGAGCTACATGGGGCAGATAGGGGTACCCGTCAGGTTCGTGGACATACTCGTCCTTTGCAATAAATATGCTATATAAGAACTTGATGATTGTGTTTCAGGCACTAGAGAAATTGTAAGTCATTCAGTGACACTTTTTCCACTACTCAAGAAAGTTTATTTCCAGTATGTCCCCAAAACCTTGGGATGATAAATTTAGAAATTCAGTTTACAATATTTAATAAATCATTTGAAACGTTCTTTTATTTCATACCGACAATTTTATGACAGTGACCCGTGTGTGTGTGTGTGTGCGTGCGGGTGCGTGCGTGCGTGCGTGTGTGTGCGTGCGTGCGTGCGTGCGTGCGTGCGTGCGTGCGTGCGTGTGCGTGTGTGTGTGTGTGTGTGTGTGTGTGTGTGTGTGTGTGTGTGTGTGTGTGTGTGTGTGTGTGTGTGGCTGGTAGGGATAGAAACTGAGACAAGCATCGTGTTGTTAACCTGCCAAAGTAATCATTCATTTCGTCATGATGTGTGTTTTTAATTACTTGGTGGCGTACTTGCTTAATACATTCACTATGGTCAGGTAATTCGGTTCGACGAATCATGGTACTACTGGGCCAATGATCTTGATATTTATTGTCAGGTACATTCAGTATGACGCATGGTGGTACTACTGGGACAATGATCATGGTGTTGTGACGGTCGGCGCAGCCCAAAATCTTTCCAAATGGAATGCAGTGAGATATTTTCCCCTTCTTCAACTGAGTTAATATTCAAATCTACTAAATTATATGAATGCTATTAGTATTTTATGTGTCTCTTTATATTTAAGTCTCTGCCTTGCTTATAAGATGGAGTGCAGACGTAGAATGGATACTATCTTTTGAGACAAGATGTGCGAGCCAGTGTCAAGCTAATAGGGATATGTATACTGTCCCTTTATGCTCGAACACGCATTAATTGTATTTGTTTAATACCGTAATAATTATTACATTATCATTCAATTCAATATTCGTTCCACAATATACTTGCAAATGTCATTCATATGAGTGAGTGAGTTAGTTTGGTTTTACGCCGCTTTTAGCAATACTCCAGCAATATCACGGCGGGGGACACCAGAAATGGGCTTCACACATTGTACCCATGTTGGGAATCGAGCCCAGGTCTTTGATGTGACGAGCGAACACTACCCCACTGCCCCTCATGTGAGTGCAAGCAAACATTGCTGAAAATATGTACACCTTTACATCTTACATATCAACTGTAATGACAATATGTACACCTTTACATTGTTACATATAAACTGTAATGACAATGTGTACACCTTTACATTGTTACATATAAACTGTAATGACAATATGTATACCTTTACATGGTTACATATATACTGTAATGATAATATGTACACCTTTACATTGTTACATATTATGCATACCTTTACCTTGTTACATATAAACTGTAATGACAATATGAATACCTTTACATTCTTACATATAAACTCTAATGACAATATGTATACCTTTGCATTCTTACATATAAACTGTAATGACAATATATATACCTTTACATTCTTACATATAAACTGTAATGACAATATGTATACCTTTACATTGTTACATATTATGCATACCTTTACCTTGTTACATATAAACTGTAATGACAATATGAATACCTTTACATTTTTACATGTAAACTGTAATGACAATATGTATACCTTTGCATTCTTACATATAAACTGTAATGACAATATATATACCTTTACATTCTTACATATAAACTGTAATGACAATATGTATACCTTTACATTCTTACACTGTAATGACAATATGTACACCTTTACATTGTTACATATAAACTGTAATGACAATATGTATACCTTTACATTGTTAAATATAAACTGTAATGACAATATGTATGCCGTTACATTGTTACATATAAACTGTAATGACAATATGTATACCTTTACATTGTTACATATCAACTGTAATGACAATATGTATACCTTTACATTGTTACATATAAACTGTAATGATAATATGTATACCTTTACATTGCTACACTGTAATGACAATATGTACACCTTTACATTCTTACATATAAACTGTAATGACAATATGTATACCTTTACATTGTTACATATAAACTTTAATGACAATATGTACATCTTTACATTATTACATCTAAACTGTAATGACAATATGTATACCTTTACATTGTTACATTTAAACTGTAATGACTGACTGGCTGACTGAGTTTAGTTTTACGCCGCTTTAGCAATATTCCAGCAATATCACGGCGGGGCACACCAGAAATGGGCTTAACACATTTTGCCCATGTGGGGAATCGAACCCGGGTCTTCGGCGTGACGAGCCAACGCTTTAACCACTAGGCTACCCCACCGTCCCAAACTGTAATGACAATATGTAAACCTTTATATTGTTACATTGTAATGACAATATGTACACCTTTACATTGTTACATATAAACTGTAATGACAATATGTATACCTATATATTGTTACATATAATCTGTAATGACAATATGTACACCTTTACATTGTTAGATATAAACTGTAATGACAATATGTATACCTTTACATTGTTACATATAAACTGTAATGACAATATGTATACCTTTACATTGTTACATATATACTGTAATGACAATATATATACCTTTGGAACCACAAAGTCACATTTTCCCAAATGACACTTCGAGTTAGTTTGGTGAAACTGATACATTTACTACTTGTTTTCCTTCATCCTGTGATAAAGGTGGCTTTATAACAAGACACAGTATCCCGTCGTGGCCCACAGCATGTACTGGTAAGCCGGGTCCAGGATTCTGATAACTTAGTATTCTGAATTTCGATGCCTGTCGGAAGCAGTTACATTGGTAGCAGTTAGGTTTAGATATTACGTTGTAATCATGATGTACTGCATTGTCACAATGTCACGGAGTTTGCGGTCAAACGCTTATCAAAATTTATTCACGTTCCTCATATCTGATACGAATTTTGATAGAACAGAAAAATACTTGTAAGATTATCTAGTTTTCACCCATCGATATAAAATGCTTCTAAATGTTGAGATGCATAAAATGTGCAAAACAAAACAGTCATAAAATCTTGGTTGTTCATTATCCAAGGTCCAGCAATACAACCTACGCAACTGCAAATGGAGGAAAGTATGAATTCGTCATCGATGGTCCAAAGGCATTGCCACTGGAAGAGGTACTGCTGCTGTTGTTAGGGATGTAAATGTTATGAAAACAAACTTCTTCTTCTCCTTCACCTAAGCATCGTTTGCTTCGAGATTTCGGCATCGTTCATGTTTCATCAAGTAACTGACGAACCTTTAGGCATGTAAACATGTAGATATGTTTCTCATCACGTTTCAGAGATTCTGGACTGATTTGCTCGCCGATGCAAGAAAATGGGGTCTGTTTGTTTACGAACAGGTAAGAATTCCTTTCACCAAACGCATAACTTCAGATACATCATTCTGCAGTGTATACTTATTTTAGATTTAATCTGACGGGTTCTTTTATTTCTGTAGGATTATCTTCGTAATGAATTTGAAGGGATCAATAAGCTTCTGACTGACATTGACCTTGGCCGCCAATGGTTGACTCAGATGGGCAATGGAGCTGCCAAGAACGGACTGACCATCCAGTACTGCATGTCATTCCCACGACATTTGCTACAGTCTCTGGAAATACCTGTTGTCACACAGGTGAGAGCAACTATTTCATGATATGGTTATTATTAGTGAGTGTGGGTTTACACTTATATGGATACATTTGTATGATAGTGATACCCTATGTTGAGAGAGAAACACGAGTATTTGCTTTAACATTGCAGTCAACATCGACCTGGAAACTTTGCAAGTTATTTGATATATGTTTTAGTCTCGGGTAAGCCATGACAACCGACCGAACACGGACAACTGGAAGATAGGCGTTTCATCGATATTTGCTTTGTCTCTGGGCGTTGTTCCCTACAAGGATAATTTTTGGACAACCAGCGTTCAACCCGGAAATCGCTACAGTATGTACAAAAATTAGTTCTGAATCAACATGACATTACTTTCCAATTGGAATAAATCCTTTGAGAAAGTAATGTTATGTTGATTTCATTCCAACGTTCTTAAGAAAATATTCTCAATCCGGTGAAGTGTGTAATATTCATATCATGTCATGACTACATTCATAGAAGCAGAAAGTTGATATGTATTGAATGTGTTGCAGATTTATCGGAACCCCACACATCACTTAATGCTGTGGTTGCAACGTTAAGTACAGGCCCAGTGGGGATTAGTGACATGATTGGAGGCACGAACAAGACACTCATCATGAAGTAGGTTGGCTGTTCATGTTTAACTCCAAACTGTTCTCTGTTGTGGTTTAGTATCCCGCAGGTTATGTTTACTTCCTGTAATATATTTTTATGATTTACTACACTTGTAGTTATTATTAATTACTCATGCATTTATTTTTAATTCCTTTATTTACTATTTTATAACTTCTTTGAGAGGCATTTAGAAGTTGGACGAATAAATATGGATGCCAATATATGGATGAACAACTTCATTATTACAGTGATGCCATTCGGTTCTCATTGTAATCAAGAAGTTGTTCATTCATATATTGTGATATCTATTGTCCCCTGCAGTTTAAAATCCTGCAGGACCGTACCTGTTTACTTACTGTAATATTTCCTTAATATTTCCTACACTTGTAACTATTATTCATAATTCATGCATTTATTTTTTATGCCTTTATTTATTATTTCATATCCTGCAACATTTTTTATTTCCCCTGTACTGATTATTATTATTCCTGTTATTCAATGTCTACATCTTCTGCATTTACTATCCATAACTAATTATTTCTCTCGTATGAATTTTTTATTAACCATGTAGGTGTTAAATTTTACTTGTACCATTCCCGAATGATCAAATGTTATTCTTGTTACCTGGTTCGTCTTAGTACTCACGTCTCCAGGTCACCACTATCACTTAACCTCTTATCCAGATCTGTAAATGCTGACGGCCTGATCTTAAAACCATCTCGACCGGCGACTGCAATTGACAACAGAATACGGAGGGTACTTTCGTATCTTCCTTTACTCCTATACTATAACGCTTCCTTATAAACACGTCAGAAACGACCGTCGGGCTGACTGTAGCAGACCTATAGCTGCACGGTCATGTCTTTCTTCTAACTTCTGCAGTTCTTAAGACTGCATTGAGTGGAAATGATAAGCGTTTGTTTATCTGGCCTGTTAAATTGAACATTGTTGGTCATTTCTCGAAAATGTTTTGCTTCTTGCAAATTTAGAGAAATCAGAACAAATGCACAATTGCGGTTATTTCGACCTCAATCGTTTCTACCATTACAAGACATTCTTTCTCTGGTTTGGATAAAATAAAACCAACGAAACAGAAAATAAATCCATGTCACAACAAATTTTGCCTCTGAGTAGACCTTCGAAGAAACTGAAATGTTCTTATGATGCATGTCTTATAGATGGCCTGGTCAGACTTTGAGGGTCCTGATGGGGAGGTATGGTCCACGTATTCAGATTTTGGTGGAAAGAACAAGTACGGTATCATCCTCGCTGCTGATCTTCAGGGAAGCTACAACATGACACCTTGCATGGCTGGATATCAAGGGGTAGGGCAGTAGGGTCTTTCTACCGATACTAGAGTTCCGGAGATTAGTGTTCGGATTTTTACAAATATACGTGCAAAGATATTCATATATTTCACCTAAAATGAGCGTTAATATTTCCAGTTTCCCAGTTCCATGGTCTTCCCAGCCAAGGATTCCAACAAGATCCAGCCCTTGACAGACCCCCAGCCTTTGACAATGAGTGGTTGTACCATGACTGACTTCTGTCTCTTCTATGTATCACCGGTACTGACCGTCAATGGGTAGGTGTATTCCCTTGTTTCAACCACATTCAGGCTAAATACACGTGAACGATATCCGTGAACGATACGGATATCAACTGGTGAACATATTTGACTTGACTTACTTTGGGTTGAAAATGCGACTTAAAAATCTTAAAAGTGAACATACGTTGTCTGAATGAATGTCCGAACAGTGTCTAAACTGCAATACAATTATTTGCCGCTGCAGCAAACAAGTTCTCATCCAGGGTGAGTTAGACAAGTGGGTGCCCATGTCACCCCAGAGAGTCACGGATATCAACATTGCCGACGACATCACCATCAACCTCACTGGAGCAGCCCACGAAACTGTCTCCTTTTGGTTCAACGTGGATGGTAAATCCTCACCTGTGACCTGTACCCTCGGAGCAGCAGGACTGGCCACCCTCAGTTTCACAGCAGGCACATGTCGCGGTGTATAAAAACATATACATGCATGCCTATTTTAAATACATACTTTAAATGTTTAGCTTCATATTGAATAAACGCTATTCATATCGCTAACGCGCAAATGCGCAAATCCGGTCATTCATTTCACCAACGTATTTCCTTTCTTTTGAATGAAAGTCCAGCTATTTATCCTGTGATTTATAATGAATATGTGTACAGGCCTCTGTTAATAACTGCTCAAATACATACTTTAAACGTTTAGCTTCATATTGAATAAACGCTAGTCATATTGCTAACGCGCAAATGCGCAAATCCGGTCATTCATTTCACCAACGTATTTCCTTTCTTTTGAATGAAAGTCCAGCTATTTATCCTGTGATTTATAATGAATATGTGTACAGGCCTCTGTTAATAACTGCTCCTGTCCAGTATTTTCCATTTCATAATGATGTTGTTGCTTCTTGAAAAAAAGTAAACAAAGGATATTTGAACTCTTTCTTTTTGTCTTCCTTTGGTGTCTCTGTGAACATGTTTCTTCTGCATGCAACTGGCTATGACAACCTATTCTCTGAAGATTATTATCTATGTTAATCAGTCCTAGCAGTAAGGCAGTATTGTAACATGAACAGTGAGAGAGATAATGCTTTAGCCCGCATTGGGAGAGTGTCTGCTATACAGCGACGCTGAGAATTTAAGTTGATTTATATGTCAATATCCGTTTTTATTTTGAATCGACATTTTCAAGTTTCAAGGTGTAAAAACATCCAACATATGCTGTGATTGATCTCACTTCTATGTGTACTTAATATTGTTGTTACCACTTATAACAACAGTCAAGGCACCACTGTGAGTTGTTAATATGCTCAATATGAACATTGAGAGAGATAAAAATCAACTTGCAGAAAATTCAACTCACATCAGCAAATTGTGGTCACTGGACATTGAGGTTGGTGTGTATGTCAAGTGTATATACACATATCTTCGATATTTTGTTTATACCATGATAATCGAAGTTGTAAACAAATACAACAAATACTCCCATTGTTCTCACCATTGTGTGTAATTGTACAGTATTGTATTGTACTGTAATTGTAATAGTATAGGCGGCATGACAGTACTGCTTCTAAATCCTAAAGCTGATGCCCGTTCTGCTCATAACCAGTTTCAGTCCAAATCACCATTTGTTGATCTGAGAGCTTCGATAATCGTCACATTTGCGCTCAAAAGCTTGATCTTCTGCGTGCTAAACAGCCTGGTCGGGCCTTGTATAGATACAAATGACATACAGAAGTCCAATACAACATAATACATAGCCTCTTCAGGAACTAATTCCTTTGGGTGTAAAGGAATAAAGTGGTCGTGAAGACTATATGAATGGATCACTGAAAACAGCTGAATTACATTTATTAAATTATTGAATTATATAACGTTTGGACCCATTCTTGACTATCCCCATGAACATATTCTGTTTGGTGAACAGGGAAATATAAATACAGGGTAAATGGCTGTTAAAATGATATGAATGGAGCAAAGTTTCAAGTTTTAGATAATACGGTAAATTGCTGAAGCATTTTGATAAAACAGTTATTGTGAAGCCCCAATTGATCAAACTGCTAGATCAGGGTGCATTGTCAACAAAATGACCACCTTATAAGTGAGCGATTAAAACATTGTTTTATTGGTGTCAACAAGTCTAGGAAACACTTTGACCCAAATTTTGAGACACCTCGATACTTGTCTTGTGGAGAGGCTACGATTGCTCTTAGTCTCTATACTGTGATCTAAATATGAAACGACCCGTGAAGGTCCGGGTTAGAATGAGCCTTCACTAACCCATGCTTGTCGAAAGAGGCAACTAACGGGATCGGGTGGTCAGGCTCGCTGGCCTGGTTGACATATGTCATCGGTTCCCAATTGCGCAGATCGATGCTCATGCTGTTGATCACTGGACTGTCTGGTCCAGACTCGTTTACTTACAGATCACCGCCATATAGCTGGAATATTGCTGAGTGCGGCGTAAAACTAACTCACTCACTCACTCTCAATATGAAACAGATGAGGCTGTGTCAATGATCTCTTTATTTCCAGTTAAGATTGGTAACTCAAGGGACGGAAGTTTGCTATTTCATGATCACTGAACAATATCGGATCATCAGTATATGTGACGTAAATGCTTTTTGTTTAAATATCTTACTCACAATCTCACAAAGATGTAATTATTGAGGAAACATTTTCACCTAAAATTGTGCCTGTGGTCACGTCGTTTTGTAGCCACAAAATGTGGGTCACGGAAATAAGTGTTTCATTAATTGTGTCATGTGAGTTTATTGTGTACATTAGAACATCAAGTGTTTGGTTAATTTCTGAGAATGTGAAAAGAGAAGCAAATCCTTTATATTTTCGAGATTCCATATGGTATTTGGTCAACTTGTAAATTCCATCCTCGATAATTTTAGGATTATGCTTAAGCAGGGATATGATAGCACATTTCCAGGATCCAGCACAATATCAATTACCACACTATGTGAGTGCAATACTCTTGAATGTAGCCTTGAAACGCACGACCTGTTTAAACTCTTGTTGCAAGCTGTTGAAATTAGGAGATAAACGTCATGTATTGGCCAATTTCCGGGTGTTATTGAGTATTTGAAGTACGGGTATTCCGACATTGTGAACACAAAGTAAACCAAAAGGTTTTTCTGTCTGCACTCATTGACATCGAGTATGGGTACAGCAGTGAAGTGTCATCAGCCGGTTGTTTCGGCTGGTACCCTTGGTAGCATCTGGACGTGCTCATTTGTGACATCATTCCGACTTTACGTCACAATATGATTTGAATGACGTCACCACTGCTGACGACGCAACAATACAATGCGAGGATTCTTAATTTAGGTCACCGACATCGTCGTTTGTTTTCCGCCTTAGATTAATCATAATTGTGCTAAAAAAGTATTAAATTTCCAAGCGTCCTCGTGCTTTAACTATAGTAGTTCAGGGCGAAAGTGTGCTTTATTACACTATACATGGTGGTAGAGCGAACTGTATTTCTTAAATACACAGCGAATAATCTTGCATGTGCCGAATACCATTCGATAATGTTTTTCAACCATTCAGATGAAGAACACAGTGCCTTTGAATTCCATACAACATCTTTTTAAACAAAACATGACATTAATTCAGTGGAGTTAGTTTCATGACAGATATTAAACTGGACAACACACGGACATAAAGAAGCATTTACCTAGGTGTAACAAATTATCACATGATAATCTTCTTGACATAACACGGTTATCATCTGAGATAGTGTGTGCATTACATCAAGTGACATGTAAGTCATATGATTTGATTGCCAGTAGACATCAGCTGACGATGTGCACTAAGACCTACATGTACCTGTTTCTGTCTCTGTTGCTCTGTTTTGGTAAGTATCTTCTTACATCAACAATGGATCTAAAGCCAAAATGTTTCTTGTTGGTATCTAAATATGGTTAACATTTGAAGCATGTACAGGCGTTCGTAAATATAGCAAGTAGTTTCAAGTATCATCGATTAGGTGGAGGAAACTATCATCAGTTAAAGAGTGTTCTTGGTACATTAATAAGATGCTGAAATCCCCATTCAAACTTTTTGTTGTGCATGTCCTGGACATAAAGTTTTGAAAACGATTGAAACATGTAACATATAAGTACCAGTTGAGTGATGATTTAAAGCAGTAAACATATAAGTACCAGTTGAGTAATGATTTAAACAGTAAACATATAAGTACCAGTTGAGTAATGATTTAAACAGTAAACATATGACAGTGATCCTGTTCACATACTTAATTAATACGTTTGGATTCAGCCAACAGCCTTCACAGATTAAATGGATTCCTTGCAGTGAAAGTAATGTAACTGCCCACTGTTATGTTATAGTTAGAAACAGCAGGGTGTGTTTCAATTTTAACTATGAGCTTCAACTATTTTACTTTCTAAACAACACTCCTTCCTCAATTTCCTTTGTTTGAAATCAGATCGCTGGGGGTTAAAATGAACCTCTCTTATTGTTCATTAAGTTCAGTGTGAGAAAGTCATCACGGGGAATGGCATGTATACAGCATATACTATTCAGGGTTTTGTTTGCAATTCAACAAACTGACAAGTCAATAGAGTCATTTGCTTTTTGCTTCTCTGCTGCTTGTCACGAGGTCATGGTGTAAGCAGGCATTCACTTACCTAGTAAGGTGCAGTTTCCAAATTAGGAGCCTCCGAGGGAAAGCAGGACTTTGCTGTGAACGTCAGCAGTGACGGGACCTACAACGTCGTTGTACAGGGAGATGTGTGGCTGAAGAGCGCTCCTACCTTCTTCAGAGCTGATGATCAAGTGTTCTCCTCTGCTGATGGATCTCTGAAGCTGGTCAAGAACACTCAGTCCAGTGGTGTGGACGTCATCGGGCAGTGGGAGGCCAACAGCTTCTTGTACCAGGCAGGGTCCAGTCAGATCGAGGCCAGCTTTGTACAATACACACCAGATCCAAGCATATTCACCTACAACAATCCCGCTTTTCCGTTCATATTGTTCAAACAGGTGAGTAGAAATAGGATGGACACCACAATCTCTATTCACACTAAGACAAAGCATGACATAGATATGTACCGTTATAATTGTAACAAAACAAACAAATCTAGTCAGACAAGATAACTCCCGATATTCTGATTTGACTTATATTTTGATTTAAGTGCACTTTCTGCTGTGGATAGCACGTAACCTTTTAATGGCTCATCATTTGCGTTGTGCAATGGTCCTGAAAATTATTGTTGTTCATTGTGTTGAGAAGGATAGCACTGAATATTGAGCAATATGATCAATTTAATTAATGGATGGCTGTACATGTAAAAAAACACAAATAGATTTTACACAAAATCATCCAATCACAGCTATTAGATTATTCTTTCTGCACTGAACTTCTCCCTACAGCGTATTAGAACATTTATGTTCCATTGTGTCCTTGAAGGGATACATAATCATAAAGGTTTAGTTTTCAACAGTGACAGTGACGGACTTGTATCAATGTAGCATTAAAAGCTCTTAATGTTGTTAGTTGAATGTTCTGCGAACTAGAGTCTTTCACGTAGTTCTTTAAGAAACCAAGTCTCCAAATGTACCAGGGAATACACAAGATCTTTATGGTGTCATAACTGACACGTTGTCAGAACACACGCTCTTCATGTTTTCTTTCATCAATGATGACAACAGCGTTACATCAATGGAGCAAACAACACCGCCTCCAAGAGGACTGACTTCACCATTTCTGGCTTTCCTGGATTTCTAATTCAAGATTCATCCATTCCGCTGGGATATCTTAGTTATGGAGGATCTCAGGGTGGTAGCATTGATCTCATTGTTGGGCAGTAAGTATTTATATGTGAAAATGATATCATGTTTAACGTGTTGAACACAAAAAAGCTGCAAATATCATCAGACAGAGCCTTTGGATAACGTCACGAACTGAACATGGATACAAGTCTGTTTTTTTCAAAATGGTTTTACTCCAGTCGATTCTTGACAATATGCACCCCAATGATCTGATTCCGGATCCACCTCCCAAATATCAAGTGAACTATCTCCGATAAATATATTACTAGTGGCGTGTTATGAAATATCATTTTTAGTAGTATTTTTCAATAGGATTCAACTATTTCATTCTTTTCTTTAAGATGGGGACCATCATCGTTCAAAATCGACGATGGGATTATGGGGTGGACCTCTGACTTTATTTGATCGCGTTAAGACTGCAAATACACTGATTATCTCCCCTGCCAGTCAATTTATGTCGTCATCAATATGGCGTCAGAGCTCCAGCACCGGCGGGGACAATGTCTACTGGGGGACGATGGGAGGAGTTGAAGATGTCCCTGTTGGCGTTGAAACAAGTTTTATTCTTTTCTGCAGTAACCAAGGTATTAACAAGGTGACTCTCATACTCCTTAACATACCTGTAAAAAAGATATCTGTATGGCATTTATTAACTATTTTAGACATAAATTATGTTTTTATTTTAATTTTTTTAATTTTAAACCTTTGAGACTGTACCTCTCCTTAACCTTCAACACGTTCATGGCAATAAACAATCATAATGTACATTTTCTAAGGAAACCTGTCATTATCGATGCAGGCCTCTGTAAGCTGGGGTCAGATCTTACAACAGTGGCATGGCCGTACAGATCATTATGTCAAGTCCGACTTTACCATAAACTACTTAGGGTACTGGACGGACAATGGTGAGCATATTTCGAGATGCCTTGATTTGATTTCAGTGAACCATTACGGTCAAATCGTATTTTCCACATTGTACAACACACTGTTTCAACCAAACCAAAGTACAAGGCATCCTTTAAAAAGATAATTTAAATGGTACTTTATTTCACAGACATGCATACAACGAATTTGAAGGCGTTGACAAGAATGACAACTATACCATATTGCTGTGCACTTTGTTCTGTGAACCATGGTGTGAAACCACGCTGAAATATCTGACAGACAAAAGAAAGCCTTTAACAACAATTTGTTTGTTCAGGTGCGTATTACTACTACCAGACGGAGAAAGGAAAGAACCATCAAGACACAATGTTGGATATCAAGAGCTACATAGGGCCAGATAGGGGTACCCGTCAGGTTCGTGGACGTTCTCATGCTTTACAATAAATATGTTATATAAGAATTTGATGATTGTGTTTCAGGCACCAGAGAAAATTTATGTTATTCAGTGACACGTTTTCCACCAGATGCGTATTCAGGAATGTTTATTTCTCATTATGTCCCAAATCTAGCTTTTAATTATTTAGTGGCGTACTTGCTTAATACATTCACTATGGTCAGGTAATTCGGTTCCACGAATCATGGTACTACTGGGGCAATGACCTTGATATTTATTGCCAGGTACATTCAGTATGACGCATGGTGGTACTACTGGGACAATGATCATGGTGTTGTGACGTGGTCGGCACAGCCAAAAATCTTTCCAAATGGAATGCAGTGAGATATTTTGCCCTTCTTCAACTAAGTTAATATTAAATTCTACTAAATTATATGAATAAGATGTTATTAGTATCTTATGAGTCTCTTTATATTTAAGTCTCTGCCTTGGAATGAAGTGCAGACGCAGAATAGAAAATATCCCTTTGAGACAAAATATGCAAACCAGTGTCAAGCTAATAGGGATATGTACTATGTCAGGGCGAGATTATTACTGTCCCTTTATGTTCGAACTCGCATTAACTGTATTTGTTTAATGCCGGTAAAATTATCACATTCCATGATCATTCAATTCAATATTCGTTCCACAATATACTTGCAAATGTCATTCATATGAGAGTGAGTGAGTTTGGTTTTACGCCGCATTTAGCAGTATTCCAGCAATATCACGCCGGGGACACCAGAAAATGGGCTTCACACATTGTACCCATCTGGGGAATCGAACTCGGGTCTTTGGCGTGTCGATGGAATGCTTTAACCACTAGGCTACCCCACCGCCCCTCATATGAGTGAAAGCAAACGTTGTTGAAAATATGTACACCTTTACATGTTAAGTGGAGTGCATATATTAAATTGTAATGACGATTTTGGAACCACAAAGTCACATTTTCCCAAATGATACTTCGAGTTAGTTTGGTGAAACTGATACGTTTACTACTTGTTTTTCTTCATCCTGTGAAAAGGTGGCTTTATAACAAGACACAGTATCCCGTCGTGGCCCACAGCATGTACTGGTAAGCCGGGTCCAGGATTCTGATAACTTAGTATTCTGAATTTCGATGCCTGTCGGAAGCAGTTACATTGGTAGCAGTTAGGTTTAGATATTACGTTGTAATCATGATGTACTGCATTGTCACAATGTCACTGAGTTTGCGGTCAAACGCTAATGCAAAATGTATTCACGTTCCTCATTTCTGATACGAATTTTGATAGAACAGAAAAATACTTGTAAGATTATCTAGTTTTCACCCATCGATATAAAATGCTTCTAAATGTTGAGATGCATAAAATGTGTGCAAAACAAAACAGTCATAAAATCTTGGTTGTTCATTATCCAAGGTCCAGCAATACAACCTACGCAACTGCAAATGGAGGAAAGTATGAATTCGTCATCGATGGTCCAAAGGCATTGCCACTGGAAGAGGTACTGCTATTGCTGTTGTTTGGGATGTAAATGTTATGAAAACAATCTTCTTCTTCTTCTTCTCTACTGGAGACATATTTGCTTCGGGATTTCAGCATCTTTTTATGTTTCATCAAGTAACTGACGAACCGTTAGGCGTGTTTAAACATGTAGATATGTTTCTCATCACGTTTCAGAGATTCTGGACTGATTTGCTCGCCGATGCAAGGAAATGGGGTCTGTTTGTTTACGAACAGGTAATAATTCCTTAACTACAGATACATCATTCTGCAGTGTATATTTATTTAAGATTTAATCTGACGGGTTTCTTTTTATTTCTGTAGGATTATCTCGGTACTGAATTTGAAGGGATCAATAAGCTTCTGACTGACATTGACCTTGGCCGCCAATGGTTGACTCAGATGGGGAATGGTGCTGCCAAGAACGGACTGACCATCCAGTACTGCATGTCATTCCCACGACATATGCTACAGTCTCTGGAAATACCAGTCGTCACACAGGTGAGAGCAACTATTGCATGATATGGTTATTATTAGTGAGTGTGGGTTTACACTTATTTTGATACATTTGTATGATAGCGATACCCTATGTTGAGAGAGAAACACGAGTATTTGCTTTAACATTGCAGTCAACATCGACCTGGAAACTTTGCAAGTTATTTGATATATGTTTTAGTCTCGGGTAAGCCATGACAACCGACCGAACACGGACAACTGGAAGATAGGCGTGTCATCGATATTTGCTTTGTCTCTGGGCATTGCTCCCTACAAGGATAATTTTGGACAACCAGCGTTCAACCCGGAAATGGCTACAGTATGTACAAAATTAGTTCTGAATCAACATGACATTACTTTCCAATTGGAATAAAACCTTTGAGAAAGTAATGTTATGTTGATTTTATTTAAACGTTCTTAAGAGAATATTCTCAATCAGGTGAAGTGTGTAATATTCATATCATGTCATGACTACATTTGTAGAGGCAGAAGGTTGATATGTATTGAATGTGTTGCAGATTTATCGGAACCCCACACATCACTTAATGCTGTGGTTGCAACCTTAAGCACAGGCCCAGTGGGGATTAGTGACATGGTGGGAGGCACAAACAAGACACTCATCATGAAGTAGGTTGGCTGTTCATGTTTAACTCCAAACTGTTCTCTGTTGTGGTTTAGTATCCTGCAGGTTATGTTTACTTACTGTAATATATATTTATGATTTACTACACTTGTAGTTATTATTAATTACTCATGCATTTATTTTTAATTCCTTCATTTACTAGTTTATAACTTCTTTGAGAGGCATTGAGAAGTTGGACGAATAAATAAGGATGCCAATATATGGATGAACAACTTCTTTATTACAGTGATAGCAATCAGGCTCCGATTTCTCGAAACAAACTTAAGTCTGAGTTTTGACTTAAGTTAGAGTGTTTACTCAAATTTGAGAAAACGCAGGGAAATGAATTTCCCATAATGAACTGAAATCGATATCAAACCCAAACATAGAAGACAATTTGAGTTTGGTAGATAGATTACTTAAGTTGTCTGATCTTTTTTTTATTCTAAAAATGCAGCTGAGTTAAAAATTCAGCTGTTTCAAATTGTCAAACTCAGATTGAATTTCAACAAATCGGGGCCAGTTCTCACTGTAATCAAGAAGTTGTTCATTTATATATTGGCATATCTATTGTCCCCTGCAGTTTAAAATCCTGCAGGACCGTACCTGTTTACTTACTGTAATATTTCCTTAATATTTCCTACACTTGTAACTATTATTCATAATTCATGCTTTTATTTTTAATTCCTTTATTTATTCTTTCATATCCTGCAACAATTTTTTATTTCTCCTGTACTAATTATTATTATTCCTGTTATTCAATGTCTACATCTTCTGCATTTGCTATCCATAACTAATTATTTCTCTCTCGTATGAATTATTTATTAATCATGTAGGTGTTATATTTTACTCGTACCTTCCCGAATGATCAAATGTTATTCTTGTTACCTGGTTCGTCTAAGTACTCACGTTTCCATGTCACCACTATCACTTCACCTCTTCTCCAGATCTGTAAATGCTGACGGCCTGATCTTAAAACCATCTCGACCGGCGACTGCAATTGACAACAGAATACGGAGGGTACTTTCGTATCTTCCTTTACTCCTATACGATAACGCTTCATTTTTAAAAGCCTTGTAGCTGTTATCGGATCTACTTGAGGCGTCGACGCAGATGTTCAAGCGTCAGAAACGACCGTCGGGCTGACTTTAGCAGACCTATAGCTGCACGGTCATGTCTTTTTCTAACTTCTGCAGTTCTTAAGACTGCGTTGAGCGGAAATGATAAGCGTTTGGTTATCTGGCCTGTTAAATTGAACATTGTTGGTCATTTCTCAAAAATGTTTTGCTTCTTGCAAATTTAGAGAAATCAGAACAACTGCACAATTGCGGGTTACTTCGGCCTCAATCGTTTCTACCATTACAAGACCTTCTTTCTCTGGTTCAGATAAAATAAAACCAACGAAAAATAAAAATAATCCATGTCACAACAAATTTTGCCTCTGAGTATACCTTCAAAGAACTGAAACGTTCTTATGATGTATGTCTTATAGATGGCTTGGTCAGACTTTGAGGGTCCTGATGGGGAGATATGGTCCACGTATTCAGATTTTGGTGGAAAGAACAAGTACGGTATCATCCTCGCTGCTGATCTTCAAGGAAGCTACAACATGACACCTTGCATGGCTGGATATCAAGGGGTAGGGCAGTAGGGTCTTTCTACCGATACTAGAGTTCCGGAGGTTAGTGTTCGTTTTTTTACAAATATACATACAAAGATAATCATTTATTACCCATACGGGTGAGGAGATCCCGTGTAATATCTTTTTGATATTTGCACAGTGTGCAATTTAGTGATTCTCGACGTTGATTGGTTGATCGTATATTTGTACATTTTCATTGGAACTACTTTCACACACTACGTTCATTCATAAAGTTTCATCGATTCATTGATAAATTGACATTAAGTAATGTAATCACACATTCAGAGATCTAAAAAGGAAAACATTAAGGTTAAAGAATATGAATATTTTTTTTTATTAGGCGTTATTATTTTCGAATAAAACTGCGTTATAATTAGTAGTCTTGTTAAATTATATAATCTTTAAAAAAACCACCAAACAATCGTTTGCATTGTTTGTAAACAAACATGGCCGCAGTTAGGCTAACCCCGATCAAGGTAACTTACCTAGTTACAGTTGACGGTGACCAAATAGGAAGAGTGATAAGAATTTTACAGCCCTTGAATTCCCAAAACCTGTTTGTTGTTGAAACTGAATTCGGGGAAATAGAAACAGCAAGATACCGACTAAAGATGTTATCTGAAAGTTTAACAAGTAAGTCGGACACGGCGTCCATGCCATCGAAAAAGAAAACAGCTCCTTTCTTACCGGAATCAGTGCTAAATGTTCTTCTTCAAGATAACTTTTTATATCCATGCATTCCTAATCAAACTGAGAGGTTGGTCCCAGTAGCCAATGCAGAGATTGACACATTTCACAGAATCGGATTCCGACTAGAGTTATCCTTCTTGGAACTGCTGTACTCTACTGAGACGAGAGTGTAACACGCCTTCCACAGAACAAAATGTTGTTTAATCTTCAAACATGTTGAGTTTCTTGACAGAAAACTTTTTCTAGATGTATTCGTGGGATGGTTGTCTTTAAGATTTCCCAACTTTTAACCGTTGACTTTCTCAAAAATTGACAGGTTTTTGCCAGAGTGTGTTTCAACACTACACCGTCACCCGTCACTAGAAAACACGACAGTCGTGAATGAACGATGTTCCGTCGCACTGACTTGATGGAATACATGTTTAGCTCTTATTAAGTTCAATGATATATTTAAAAGATCATTTTATCATATTAACAAATGTTAATTAATTACTCCAGGCATAATAATTTTGTCGATTTTAAAGCGATTTTATGATGTACTATTTCCCATAGCGTAGTTATGTTATTACCGCTGGAGAAGTTAGGTTTAATACGCGCATGAATACGAATCAGCTGTTTAAGGTCACAAGTCCTGTCTCCGGGTGGTTTTTATTTCGTGGTTCTTCCTTTTAAATTACATTATGGGTAATAAATAGAATAACCAACGAGGTACGAGTGATTACGTTAAAATAATGTTCAGTGCCTTGCCAAGGCTCGGCACTGTGAACATTATTTCAACTCGGGCATATTTCCCGTAATCACTCGTACCTCGTTGGTTATTCTCTAAATATTTCACCTAAAATGAACGTTAATATTTCCAGTTTCCCAGTTCCATGGTTTTCCCAGCCAATAATCCCAACAAGATCCAGCCCTTGACAGACCCCCAGCCTTTGACAATGAATGGCTGTACCATGACTGACTTCTGTCTCTTCTATGTATCACCGGTACTGACCGTCAACGGGTAGGTTCATTTCAACCTCATGCAGGCTATATACTCGTGAACGATATCTCGAAGGTTATCAACTGGTGAATATATTTGACTTTACTTACTTTGGGTTGAAAATGTGACTTTAAACTGTTAAAAGTGAATATACGTTGTCTGAATGAATGTCCGAACAATGTCTAAACTGCAATACAATTATTTGCCGCTGCAGCAAACAAGTTCTCATCCAGGGTGAGTTAGACAAGTGGGTGCCCATGTCACCCCAGAGAGTGACGGACATCAACATTGCCGATGACATCACCATCAGCCTCACTGGAGCTGCCCACGAAACTGTCTCCTTCTGGTTCAACGTGGATGGTAAATCCTCACCTGTGACCTGTACCCTCGGAGCAGGAGGACTGGCTACTCTTAGTTTCACAGCAGGCACATGTCAAGGTGTATAAAAATATATACATGCATTCATATTTTTAAATACATACTTTAAATGTTTAGCTTCATATTGAATAAACGCTAGTCATATCGCTAACGCGCAAATGCGCAAATCCGGTCATTCATTTCACCAACGTATTTCCTTTCTTTTGAATGAAAGTCCGGCTATTTATCCCGTGATGTATAATGAATATGTGTACAGGCCTCTGTTAATAACTACTCCTGTCAAGTATTTTTCATTTCATAATGATGTTGTTGCTTCTTGAAAAAAAGTAAACAAAGGATATTTGAACTCTTTCTTTTTGTCTTCCTTTGGTGTCTCTGTGAACATGTTTCTTCTGCATGCAACTGGCTATGACAACCTATTCTCCGTAGATTATTATCTATATTAATCAGTCCTATCAGTAAGGAAGTATTGTACCATGAACAGTGAGAGAGGTAATGCTCTAGCCCACATTGGCAGAGAATTTAAGTTGATTTATATGTCAATGTCCGTTTTTATTCTGAATTGAGTTTTTGAAGTTTGAAGGTGTAAACACATCCAACATTTGCTGTGATTGTTCTCACTTCTATGTGTACTTAATATTGTTGTTACCACATATAACAACAGTCAAGGCAACACTGTGAGTTGTTAATATGCTCAATATGAACATTGAGAGGGATAAAAATCAAGTTGCAGAAAATTCAACTCACATCAGCAAATTGTGGTCACTGGACATTGAGGTTGGTGTGTATATCAAGTGTATATACACTTATCTGCGATATATTGTTTATACCATAATGATCGAAGTTGTAAACAAATACAACAAATACTCCTATTGTTCTCACCATTGTGTGTAATTGTATAAGCGGCATGCTGCACTGCTTCTAAATCCTATTTACAGCTGATGTCCGTTCTGCTCATAACCAGTTTGAGTCCAAATCACCATTTGTTGATCTGAGAGCTTCGATAATCGTCACATTTGCGCTCAATAGCTTGATCTCCTGCGTGCTAAACAGCCTCGTCCTGCATTGTATAGATAGAAATGAAATACAGAAGTCTAATGCAACATAATACATAGCCTCTTCAGGAACTAATTCGTTTTGGTGTAAAGGAATAAAGTGGCTGTGAAGACTATATGAATGGATCACTGAAAACAGTGAATCTCGTGAACTCAGCTGAATTACATTTATTGAATTATTGAATTATATTACGTTTGGACCCATTCTTGACTATCCTCATGCACATATTCTGTTTGGTGTACAGGGAAATATAAATACAGGGTAAATGGCTGTTAAAATGATATGAATGGAGCAAAGTGTCAGGTTTTAGATAATACGTTAAATTGCATTTTGATAATACAGTTATTGTGAAGCCACAATTGATCAAACTGCAAGAGCAGGTTGCACTGTCAACAAAATGACCAGCTTATAAGTGAGCGTTTAAAACATTGTTTTATTGGTATCAACAAGTCTAGGAAACACTTTGACCCAATTATGAGACACGTAGATACTTGTCTTGTGGAGAGGCTACGATTGCTCTTAATCTCTATGCTGTGATCTAAATATGAAACGACTCGTGTAATGTCCGGGTTAGAATGAGCCTTCAGTAACCCATGCTTGTTGAAAGAGGCAACTAACGGGATCGGGTGGTCAGGCTCGCTGGCCTGGTTGACACATGTCATCGGTTCCCAATTGTTCATGCTGTTGATCACTGGACTGTCTGGTCCAGACTCGATTATTTACAGACCACCCACTCACTATAAATATTAACAGATGAGGCTGTGTCAATGATCTCTTTATTTCCAGTAAAGATTGGTAACTCAGGGGACGGAAGTTTGCTATTTCATGATTACTGAACAATATCGGATCATCAGTATATGTGACGTAAATGCTTTTTTGTTTAAATATTTTACTTACAATCTTACAGTAATGTAATCTTTGAGGAAACATTTTCACCAAAAATTGTGTCTGTGGTCACGTTGTTTTGTAGCCACAAAATGTGTTTCATTAATTGTGTCATGTGAGTTTATTGTGTACATCAGAACATCAAATGTTTTGACAGAATTGAAATTGGTTAATTTCTGAGAATGTGAAAAGAGAAGCAAATCCTTTATATTTTCGAGATTCCATATGGTATTTGGTCAACTTGTAAATTCCATCCTCGATAATTTTAGGATTATGCTTAAGCAGGGATATGATAGCACATTTCCAGGATCCCAGCACAATATCAATTACCACACTATGTGAGTGCAATACTCTTGAATGTCGCCTTGAAACGCACGACCTGTTTAAACTCTTGCTGCAAGCTGTTGGAATTAGGAGATAAACGTCATGTATTGGCCAATTTCCGGGTGTTATTAAGTATTTGAAGTACGGGAATTCCGACATTGTGAACACAAAAGTAAACCAAAAGGTTTTTCTGTCTGCACTCATTGACATCGAGTATGGGTACAGCAGTGAAGTGTCATCAGCCGGTTGTTTCGGCTGGTACCCTTGGTAGCATCTGGACGTGCTCATTTGTGACGTCATTCCGACTTTACGTCACAATGTGATTTGAATGACGTCACCACTGCTGACGACGCAACAATACAATGCGAGGATTCTTAATTTAGGTCACCGACATCGTCGTTTGTTTTCTGCCTTAGATTAATCATAATTGTGCTTAAAAAGTATTAAATTTCCAAGCGTCCTCGTGCTTTAACTATAATAGTTCAGGGCGAAAGTGTGCTTTATTACACTATACATGGTGGTAGAGCGAACTGTATTTCTTAAATACACAGCGAATAATCTTGCAATTGCAGGGGAATCGAATACCATTCGATAATGTTTTTCAACCATTCAGATGAAGAACACAGTGCCTTTGAATTCCATACGACATCTTTTTAAACAAAACATGACATTAATTCAGTGGAGTTCCTGTTAGTTTCATGACAGATATTAAACTGGACAACACACGGACATAAAGAAGCATTTACCTAGGGTGTAACAAATTATCACATGATAATCTTCTTGACATAACACGGTTATCATCTGAGATAGTGTGTGCATTACATCAAGTGACATGTAAGTCATATGATTTGATTGCCAGTAGACATCAGCTGACGATGTGCACTAAGACCTACATGTACCTGTTTCTGTCTCTGTTGCTCTGTTTTGGTAAGTATCTTCTTACATCAACAATGGATCTAAAGCCAAAATGTTTCTTGTTGGTATCTAAATATGGTTAACATTTGAAGCATGTATAGGCGTTCGTAAATATAGCAAGTAGTTTCAAGTATCATCGATTAGGTGGGCGAAACTATCATCAGTTAAAGAGTGTTCTTGGTACATTAATAAGATGCTGAAATCCCCATTCAAACTTTTTGTTGTGCATGTCCTGGACATAAAGTTTTGAAAACGATTTAAACAGTAAACATATAAGTACCAGTTGAGTGATGATTTAAACAGTAAACATATAAGTACCAGTTGAGTAATGATTTAAACAGTAAACATATGACAGCGATCCTGTTCACATACTTAATTAATACGTTTGGATTCAGCCAACAGCCTTCACAGTTTAAATGGATTCCTTGCAGTGAAAGTAATGTAATTGCCCACTTTTCTGTTATAGTTAGAAACAGCAGGGTGTGTTCTAATTTTAAGTATGAGCTTCAACTATTTTACTTTCTAAACAACACTCCTTCCTCAATTTCCTTTGTTTGAAATCAGATCGCTTGGGTGAAAAATGAACCTCTCTTATTGTTCATTAAGTTCAGTGTGCGAACTTCATCACGGGGAATGGTATGTATACAGCATGGACTAGTCAGCGTTTTGTTTGCAATTCAACAAACTGACAAGTCAATAGAGTCATTTGCTTTTTGCTTATCTGCTGCTTGTCACGAGGTCATGGTGTAGGCAGGCATTCACTTACCTAGTAACGTGCAGTTTCCATATTAGGAGCCTCCGAGGGAAAGCAGGACTTTACTGTGAACGTCAACAGTGACGGCACCTACAACGTCGTTGTTCAGGGAGATGTGTGGCTGAAGAGCGCTTCCACCTTCTTCAGAGCTGATGGTCAAGTGTTCTCCTCTGCTGATGGATCTCTGAAGCTGGTCAAGAACACTCAGTCCAGTGGTGTGGACGTCATCGGGCAGTGGGAGGCCAACAGCTTCTTGTACCAGGCAGGGTCCAGTCAGATCGAGGCCAGCTTTGTACAGTACACACCAGATCCAAGCATATTTACTTACAACAATCCGGCCTTACCGTTCATGTTGTTCAAACAGGTGACTACACATAGCCTGGGAATGTAATGGGTACAATTTCCATAATATAGAAAGGCAAGACCTTTTAGACAGCTTCCAATATTAAAGAACAAAAATACATCTTAGCTCATTACAATCAGTACAAAATTTATCATTCTCTGAAACGAACGAAGTGTTGGTGCTCAGCACTACAGCAGCGCAACAAATTAAAACAAATTATGACAAAGTATATTTTGAACAACCCAACATGTTGAAATTCTGTTTGATAATAGTTATCAGTTTGTTGCCAGTGTTCGTCGTCTTCACTGGTACACATCGAAATCGTAAATCAATTCGGACTTTTTGCGCCTTGATACTGTTCAAAGGTATTCCTGCATGCATTTCGACTTGTTCATGTTAATACATTTTAAATGGCATTATGACATGCGAATTCAGACGCAAGTCTTTATTCAGGTGCTTTCCAACATATGTGTGTTCTTGGCGATACATATAATCTTAAGGATTAAGTTCTTTATGTAATTTAGGAAATCAACTCTCGAAATGTAGTTGTAAGTACACATGATCTTGATATTTTCCTAACTGACACGTGGTCAGAACACACTCTCTTCATGTTTTATGTCACCGATGACGTCAACAGCGTTACATCAATGGAGCAAACAACACCGCCTCCAACAGCACTGCCTTCACCATTTCTGGATTTCCTGGATTTCTAATTGAAGAGTCAACCATCCCACTGGGATACCTCAGTTATGGAGGACTGATGTTTGATTTATGGGTCTCATGGCAGGGCAGTAAGTACCTATAAGATGATGCCTAATACGTAATTATTACGCGTTGAAGGACGACACACATGAACCCTTTAATATCAGTTGTTCTGCTAGAAAATGAATATCGTTATCGTCACCAGGAACCAACTGCACATGTACATGCATGCAAGTCTTTCTTTTCAAGACGGGTATATTTCAGTCGATATTAGATTTGATTACGCCAATGTCCCTGTAGATAAAACATTTCGGCATCTACCTCCCAAATATCAAGAGGACCATCTCTTGCAAATATGTTGTAAATATGTTGTTTTACTAATTGTAAATCAGTAGTAACTACTGAATACTTTTTGTTAAGATGGGGACCATCATCGTTCAAAATCGACGATGGGATTGAAGGTGGACCCCTGGCTTTATTTGATAAAGTAAAGACTGCAAACACACTGATTATCTCCCCTGCCAGTCGGTTTATGTCGTCATCAATATGGCGTCAGAACTCCAGCACCGGCGGGAACAAAGGTCTACTGGGGACGATGGGAGGAGTTGAAGATGTCCCTGTTGGCGTTGAAACAAGTTTTATTCTTTTCTGTGGTAACCAAGGCATTAATAAGGTACATATCATTCCTGTTTGAAACAACTGTAAGCGGCATATGAGACTATCTAATGGCCCTTTAACATGGTGTAAGTCTTCAGAGAGTTTTTCGGAACACGAATGTATTAATTTTGTTTGTGGAATATATCTCTAGGCTTAATGCGATTTCTATGTTTGGCTTCGCACAAAATCAATATTTCGCCACTTGTGGGTTGTGTAGCCCTAGTGGTTAAAGCGTTTGCTCCTCACACCGAAGACCCGGGTTCAATTCCCCACATGGGTACAAAGTGTAAAGCCCATTTCTGGTGTCCCGCGTCGTGATATTGCAGGAATATAGATAAAAGAGGCGTAAACCCATACTCACTAACTCATTATCTCTCCTTTTACACTTTAATGACAACTGAGAATTTATTTTGGCATAGAAACGTTTTACTGTGCTTGCAGGCCATGGTAAGTTGGGGGCAAATCTTGAAACATTGGTTCAGCCGTACAGATCAATATGTCACGTCCGACTTTACCATCAACTACTTAGGGTACTGGACAGACAATGGTGAGCATATTTGGCGATGCCTTGATTTGGTTATACCAAACTATTATGGAACAACATTTTTGTGTAACGTGTCCTTAAAACAATTAATGCAATACGTCTTTCATCTATGCATACTACATCGACCTAACCTGTGCTTGGTTCAAGGTTTAACGCGCAACCTCATGGCATCATTGCGCCCCTTGAATAAAAAGCGCACTCGTCACTAATTCAGGTAAACAACGATGGAGGTTGATAATAAATCGATGTGTGGCATAACTTGAACTGGCATGATTTCTGGTCGTTTTTACTTGAAAACCACTTAACATCTGGTGTGCCCTGAAGCGATTGGCTTTGTTCAGAAGTTGCCTTTGATTTGCCGTTTTGACAATACAGAAAAAGGAATGCATTTTTGTCCTTGCGTTTATGACCAAATCCGTTCCACGACAGGAGCGTATTACGCTCACCTCCACAAGATGGATAAAAAGACCCCCCAGGACACAGTGTTGGACATCAAGAGCTACTTGGTGCAGATAGGGGTACCCGTCAAGTAAGTGTAATTTCTCATGCTTTTCATGCATGTTATCAGAAGAGAATGTAATGTCTCATCAAGGCCTGCTTAGTACGAGAGAAACAGTTTCTTATCCATCAACACATTTTATGCTATCAGTAGTAGAGTTGGTTGAATTCAATGCCTTCCCAAGCTTGTCAGGTACGAGAGAAGCATTTTGTTATTTATGAACACTATGACGATGACGTTTTATTAAAATTGAACATTTGCATTACGTTTTAAGTGTAGGTATTATTTTACATCGATGCAGAAATATACTATTCAAATAAAGAATAGCATAATACAGATCTGTGCGAAAATGTTGTATTTTCAAACATATATAACATGTATAACTCCACAAAGAGACTGTAGTACATGAGTTTAGAGAAGAAGGAAATGGCAATACAACCAAGTGGGTAATTTTAGATAAACCATTCACAAGTTCCGTCAACCTTCAAAGAATTGTCAATACATGTTGTGCCGACCACGCGCACGAATAACAGTTCTCACACGCTTTGTCATCAGACGTGTATAACTGCATGGGGATTCCCCGCCACTCCTCCTGCAGACATGCAGCTAGCTCCTGGAGAGTTTGGGGTTGACGTTGACTCTGACGGAAATGGCGATCAAGTTCATTCCAAAGGTGCTCTATTGGATTAACATCCGGGGAACGCGACGGCTAGGGGGAGCACGTTAACATTGTTAGCAGCAAGACAGTCCATTGTGACACGTGCGGTGTGCAGGCTGGCGTTGTCCTGCTGGAACAACTCACGTCGAACGTCAATGGCTGGCAGGAGGTGTGGCTGCAGGATGGTGTCTCTGTAACGAACAGATTTCCCCGAACGTGGACCTGATTGGTAAGATTGGTGTAAGATATCGACGCCCACATGATGACACTTACTCCTCCAAATCTGTCCACTTCACGCACACACAGTTAGGGGCATAACGTTCACCCTGGAGACCCTGTTTCTTCCGTCACGTCAGTAGGAACCTGGATGCATCACTAAACCAAATGCGTCGCCAGTTCCATAGGCTCCAGGCGGTCATGTTGTTACACCACCGAGACACTGAGCGCGATGGTGACGACGTAGCACAGTTCCGACGTGGGGTATCCTGGCTCTCACTCCAATTTCTCTCAGCCTGTTCAGTACAGTTTGACCCAATATACTCCGAAGTCCTGGCATCCTGGCTGCTGTGCTCTCACCCGTGGCTGCAGTGGTGACTCGATGTCTTCCTGTACTGGGACGGCCATATGTTATGTCTGTTTGGTTGTCGCGAGCTGCAAGCCGTGATATCGTTCTCTTACTAACATTCAGACGCCTGGCAACAGAGAATTGGGACTCTCCAGCCTGCATTCTTCCAATGGTGATGCTCCGTGTCGAAGCGTCAAGACGTGGCATAGTGATTTCGCCTTGAAACTCCTTCAAAACGAATGCCGCTCTTTATTGCCAGACTCTCTTTACTGTACAATTCTCACGTGCAAGATGATTTATATGATAGTATATGTTTTACTTGCTTGTCACATTCTTTTGTGTCGAATAGAAATTACAGCTGGAACAGTCATTATAGGGTGGCTTGCTCCTGGTACTGGCCCATTTCGTGGGGATCTTTATGGTGGTGTGGATATATTGACCCTATTTGTTTATTTGCAAGATACGCTTTAGTACCATGTATGATGTTACTACCTTGACAATAGTTCCACATATGACGTATGGCGCTACTACTGGGACAACTACCTTGTTGTTTACTTTTACCAGGTACATTCAGTTCGACTTGTGGTGGTACTTCAAGGCCAGTGACCATGGTGTTGTGACTTGGACAGCTGAACCAACGGTCTTCCCCAATGGAATGGTGTGAGTAGTTTTCCAAAACCTGAAGCCTGAAAGAGTGTTTTTCGTAATCTTTCAAATAATTAAGATTGTCTGTACTTTGTGTTCATCACTATACTGACCTTCTCATTACCATAACGTTCCTGAATAAATAAGAGTTCCTTTAATAAAAGCATATATGCATCCGAGTTTGGTGGGTGAAACTAACACGATTTCGTCTTGTGATAAAGGTGGCTCTATAACAAGACAGAGTTACCTGTCTTTGGCTACAACACACGTTCTGGTAAGTCAGGCCGGGTCAAGGAATCGAATTACAGGTGTCCGATTTCTTTTCATGCAAAGAATGAAATTTTACTTAAGAATTGTATCAAGAATCGTAAACGTTTCTCATATATGAAGCAAGGATAATGCCAATTACAGTCTAACACCGTTTGTGTCCAAGATAAAGGACCCAGGTAAATGTTACATGAGTTATCAAAGTTCAGCGTAACCGAATAATAAGGAATGTGCAAGTTGAGAGAACTATATTCCACACACATCCATGTCATGAGAACTTTTATTATTTTATATACAATGCGTTCTTTAAGGACAGTGTGTAAACGTTGTGTAAATGTTCGGTTTCTGTTTTTGAAATGTAAAGATTTAACAGATGTGTATGCATGAAGCTCTATGTCATTAACTATTGTATGGTTTGTCAATCTCGTTTTAGGTCAAGCAACACAACCTACGCCAGGGCTAATGGAGGAAAGTATGACTTCCTGATCGATGTTCCCAAAGCTTTACCACTGGAAGAGGTACTGGTACTACTAGATATGGCATTCAAGTTATAGAAATTGCACTAAAAATATAATCGTTTTTCCTCTTCATCTATGTATCATTTGCTATGGGATTTTGTTTCATGCACCATTGTTTTATTGACGGAGTTTTAGACATGTATCACATTGCGTGTTTCAGAGGTTTTGGACTGACTTGCTAGCTGGAGGGAAGGAAATGGGGCCTGCTTTATATATGAACAGGTATTATCTCAAATTACCAAATATAAACAATAGATATCAAACCTCACACTCAAATATTTACTTCCAAAATTTTGTTCAAGTCCTCTTGATTGCCTCAATGGTGAACTTCTCCAAAGTTTCTGTTTTGTTATGTCTACTAACTGGTAGTACCACCCAGAGAGAAGTCTCAAACCTCATTATTGATCATACGTTTGTTTGTTTCTTTCCTGTAGGATTTCCTCAATGAAGAAATTTGAACAAATAAAAATTTCTTCACCGACATTGACCTTGGCCGCCAAATGGTTCTTAGCGCTTTGAGCAAGATATTCATCCTGAAATGGAGCTATTATTATTATCATTATGAATTTTGTTCCGTTTTTTAGGATTACCTCAGCGATGAATTTCGAGTGAATTAACAACAAGCTTCTGACTGACATTGACCTTAGCCGCCAATGGCTGACCTAGATGGGAATGGGGCTGCCAAGAACGGTTTGACCATCCAGTACTGTATGTCTTACCATATGACATATGCTTCAGTCTCTGAAATACCTGTCGTCACATTGGTGAGAGCAAGAATGCGTGCAAGCCAATGTGAGCAATATTCAAATAAATCAAACGCTTTGAAAACACCAAACACTGGATTTGAAAACATTCAAAAGCTGCGAAGTAATACTGCTGGACATAGAGGGAAAGTTGAAAGTTGAAATCATTTCTGTTGTCATCCAGGCTTGTATTTTGTCACTGTGAATCTTTATCCATAGATCTGAATATGAATAGCACTTTGGTATCAGTTAATTATCGTTCAGGCAAATCAGAGGAAGGTAACGGCTCATTAAAATGGTTATTTGCGAAAATCAGATTATCGATGTGCCCCAAAGCTTTAGGTAAACTTCTTTACCAAAATTACGTTCTTGTGAATTTGCAAATCCGTGCAGAAAATGCTGATTTACAATCATCTGTAAAGAAACCACCCTCTCGGGGACACATGTGGCTACCAGTTGTTTTCTAGTTTCTGTTTTACGCTCAAATTATTTGGCAAGCTGTCCCATTTAGGGAATGGATCGTGAACAACACTTTAGGCATCGACCCCACTGCCAGTGACACAAACCACATCTGGACTTTGTCATGTAAAACAATGTCAAATAATGCCATACGTTTGTTCCAGGCGCGTGTAAGCTCATGACAATCGACCAGGTACCGACAACTGGAAGATAGGTGTGACGTCACTATTTGCTTGGGCTATTGGGCGTTGCACCCTTCAAGGACAACTTTTGGACAACCAGCGTGCAGCCTGGAAATAGTTATAGTATGTAGTACTTGAGTCTGGATCAGCAGGAACACTTTTACCTTCATTGATTTTGGAACTATGTTTCGTCTTAGGAACATTTTTGTTCAGATGAAAATATGACACAGGAATAACACAATGATGCTGTAACTACATTCGTGAAGACTCATCGAGCATTGAATAATGTGCTGCAGATGCTATGGAACCGTACCCGTCCCTTCACGCCGTGGTTGCAACCTTAAGTGATACAGGCCCAGTAGGAATTGGAGACATGGTCGAGGGCACGCGAACAAGACACTCATCATGAAGTAGGTTGATGTTAATTAAGTACATTTTACAAAAACACAAAATTATGTTTACTTCCAAATGGTCCATTTCATACATTTTCAACTTTATATTTATCATGTTGTTTCTTTGTTTTGGTTTTTTTTCATTTTTGTTTTTGTTTTTTCTTTTTGAGTTTTTCTATTCTTTACCATATTATTTGTTACCACTCTACGGATTATTCTCGTCGACACTTATTCCCGATATAAATCATTTATTCATAATACTGCATACATCATACATTTTCTCCGTTACGTATAACTTATTATTCGTATGGCTTTGGTTTTGTTTGTTTGTTCTTTGATACGTCTCAATGTTTCTTTAATATGTTACTTCCTGTGATATATATTTTTATTTGCATATGTTCCTGTATTTGCTAGCTGCATTGTATTTATTATCATTATTATTCCTTTAATATTATTGTTTCCATTACATATTCCGTTTTTATTGAATGTTCCTGTATTTCTAAAATATTCTAACCCTGATATTTATTGATGGTACTTCTGCATTTAAAATTGATGTCCCATGTGTATTTTATTTATGACTCTCCTTTATTTATTATTTATAATGTCTGTTTATTGGGGTTTTACTCCCGGGATGACTGCTTTACTTTTTTTCTCTTCATTATTCATATCTCGCCCATTTGTTATTTATTATTCTCGTATTAAGTAATTATACTCGTATATTTAATTTACATTATTTTCGGGTATTGATATTTTACTATTTCTGGGCGGTGGGGTAGCCTGAGTGGTTAAAGCAGTTGGCTTGTCACGCCGAAGACCCGGTTCGAATCCCACATGGGCTACTATGTGAAGCTCCATTTCTGGTGTCCCCGCCGTGATGTTGTTTGAATATTGTTAAAAGCGACGTAAAACCAAACTCAGTAAGTCAGTTTATTTCTGTTACTTCGTCCATCTAAGTACCCACATCTACATTTCACCATTGTCACTTCAACTCTTCCACAGATCCTGTAAATGCTGACGGCTTAATCTTGAAAACCATCTCGACCTGTAACTTCAATTGACAACAGGATACGGAGGGTACCTGTTCACAATTACTCCAGTACTGCACCTTGGCAATACAGCGCTCAAGCATATTTATCTCTTACTACTTTATCAAAATGTGTCATCAGTTTCATCTTCTCGAAAAACCAATGAGACACTTCACAGGAGAAGTATCTACGTTAAAAGGCCTTTAACAGCACTCCGATTCGGTTGGAAGCAACGGTTCCACCACCTGTGCCATTATTCTATTAACTTCATGGATTATGTTTCTCACCACCCACCTGAACACAAGGCGCCACACCCCTAATCACTTTTCACTTCCCCAGCCCTGCTCCTTAAATTGGCAGTGACTAGTACTTTACACACAGTTTACAATATATGTTATATATCGTGTACAAAGTAACACTGAAATACCAGTGGAGATCTGAAGTTCTGTCTTTAAAACGTTAAAGTAACGAGGTATGATTAACGGAGTGTTTTGCTTTTTACCCTGTGGGGTTTATGATGTATAGCCATGCCAATGAAATAACCTGGTAGAACTTAAAGGTTCTTATGATGCATGTCTTATAGATGGCCTGGTCAGACTTTGAGGGTCCTGATGGGGAGGTGTGGTCCACTGCATTCAGATTTTGGTGGAAGAGAACAAGCATGCGGCATCATTCTCGCTGCTGATCTCCGGCGAAGCTACACCATGACACCCTGCATGGCTGGATATCAAGGGTAGGACATTAAGATGTTACTCTTCTTATTTGAATGCCATAGGTTAGTGCCACAAATATACATGTACAAATAGTCAGGTATGCAACTAAATATGAACGCTTGGTATTTACAGTTTCCTAGCTCCATGGTTTTCCCAGCCAAGGATCCCCCAACAACACCCAGCCCTTGACCGACGCCCAGCCTTTGGACAATGAGTAACTGCACCATGGCTGATTTCTGTCTCTTCTATGCATCAACCTGTAATTGAGCATCAATGGGTAGGTGTAATACCATTTCAACCACACTCATACCAAATACACGTGGAAGACAACCCGAAATTTATTAACTAGTGAATATACTTTACAATGTTTACGTTTGATGGAACATGCGACTTGAAGTCACAATGTTTAAAACAGCTATATCATTACTATACAGCAAAACCAAAGCTCTCATCCAGGGTGGGGAGTTAGACAGAGGTAGCTCCATGTCACCCGAGAGAGGGTGATTTGACATCAACATTGCCGATGACATCACCATCAGCCTCACTGAGCTGCCCACGAAGCTGTCTCCCTTCTGGTTCAACGTGGATGGTAACTCTTCACCCGTGACCTGTACCCTCGGAGCAGGAGGACCAGCCACCCTAGTGCCTCAAGCGCAGGTACATGTCGTGGTGTTTAATGAATATGATGTATATATGAAATGTGTAGCTTCATAATGAATAAACGCAAATCGGTTCATTGCATTCATTTACCAACGTATTTCCTTTGTTTCCATGTTCTAATATCTGGCTTTGTTTCCTGTTACTTATAGTGGTGTATGCGCATAAATATTTGTCATGCACTCTGCCATGTCAACTTCCTGTGTGTACTATTTTGCATTCATAATGATGTTTGCTTCTTGAGAGAAAGTAAACAAATGTTATTTGACTTTTCTTTTGTCTTTTCTTTCTACCGTGGTATCTCTGATGCATTCTTTCTGCATGCAAGTCGGGTCATAATGCACAGACTACAATTCTGGGTGAAGCAAGTTTAGAGGCAATGAGAGAGGGAGAGTTTTATAGCATCAGGTTTACAGCAGAAACGTGTCTGGTATACAGCACCCTGTTCCAGTTCATCCTTTTCTGTTTTGAAGTGCATAGGTTTATTTATATAATTAAAGGTTAAGTCCTAAATCAATATACCATATGTTCCCATTATTCTCGCCGCTATATATACTCCAAATTTTGACTTTCGGATATTAAAAGTGGATGTCCGTTCTGCTGATAACAAACAAGTTTCAATCCACGTCATTATAGTTGGTCTTATAGTTTCGATACATCGTCACATTTACGTTCAAGCACTTGGGCTAAAACGTTAACACTTTCTTGCCAGGCGGTATGTCCTAAATAAGAACATGGTGGTCTGTTTGTCGACAGCGAATCTTCAAAGGAAAATTGTGGTTGGTCTATAAAAAGAAACAGCTCTAGCCTAGTCAGACCGTCAATAAAG